ATCATACAGCCGCACTAATTCAATTTTGATGAAATCAAACAAAGTTTAATTTTGGACCCTTTTGACCTCAATGTAGACCAATTTAAAAATGGGGCCCAATATCCAAAAAAATTATACAAGGTTAGAACCCCCAAAAATTAAAGACTTAATTAATCCCATCGAAATTGGTTTAAACATTTGTATTTGTTTTCAATTGAAGATTTCTTGCTATTGCGCAATACTGTGCAATTGAAGATTTCTTGCTATCGTTCAATACTGTGCAATTGAAGATTTTTTGCTATTGCGCAATACTGTGCAATTGAAGATTTCTTGCTATTGCGCAATACTGTGCTATTGTGCAATACTGTGCAATTGAAGATTTCTTGCTTTTGCCCAATGCCGTGCTATTGTACAATACTGTGGTATTGCGCAATACTGTGCAATTGAAGATTTCAAAAATTTTGAAGAAAAAAAATTAACCCGCCCCCCCCCCCAAAAAAATTGGTAAAAAAATCCCCCCAACTTTTTGAACCCCCCTTTTGGAGTTATTACCCCAAACTCAATCCCAGCCTTCCCTTTATGGTATGGAACCTTGTAGTACAATTTTAGAGAAATCCATACACTTAAACACAAGTTATTGTCTGGAAACTAGAAAAATGCTTATTTTGGCCCCTTTAAATTTTTGCCCCTAATTCCTGAACGTTTGGGGCAATTAACCCAATACTCAATCCCAGCCTTCTCTTTGTGATATGGAACCATGTGGTACAATTTCAGAGAGATCCATACACTTACACACAAATTATTGTCCGGAAACTCCAAAAATGCTTGTTTTTGGACCCTTTTCGACCCCTAATTCCTAAACTGTTGGTACCATCACCCTTAAAATCAATCCCAACCTTTCTTTTGTGGAATTGAACCTTCTGGTAAAAATTCATAGAGATACATTCACTTAAACTTAAGTTATTGTCTCAAATGTGTCTTCGGACGACGCAGCCAACGACGACATCATAGCATTATACGACGCAAATTTACAGTCGTATAAAAAATTAGAATGTTTGATTGAACAAAAATAAAGATTTTACCAAAATAAATATCAAATTTTTTATCAAAATCGAAAAGGAGTCTCTTTTCATAGATATGTACGCTCAGCATAATAAATTGCTTCACAGAGCGCAGCTGGATACGACCGCAGAGGTCCAACCCTGAACAGTTGGGGCAAAAATGGATACAATATTCGCGCTTGATACAGGTCTGAATTTGGATTGTAATTAAATATTTGACACATAATAGGTTTCTGTAACTGAAGTCAAAGAACTTAGAATTGGTTATATGATTTGAATTTGAATTGAGATTATGACCATATCTTGAGGGAAAGAATTTTTTTTTGGAAAAAGAGGGGGGTTTCTGAAATCTTGTTTTTTTAACCTCCCCTCCTCTTTTTCCAAAAAAAAAATTCTTTCCCTCACGATATGGTCATAATCTCAATTCAAATTTCCAATGGAGTTTGCAACCATAATTACCCATTTAAATACATCATAAAAGTCTTAAAATAGAAAATGATAATCATGGCTAAAATTAATTTACCTTAATCAGCATTTTTTAAATTATTAAAATAGTAACTTCTAAAAATAAATTGACAGCTAATCACCTCAAGACAATACAACATTTGTTTATACATAATTTAAAAGCAGTGTAAGGGAGGTAATTCAAACACAACATTGAATTACCTCCATTACACTGTAATTTGTATTTATAAGTAATTGTCCATTAACCAGGACACCCTTGTTTTTTCTCACTTTTTTGCCCCTAATTCCTAAACGGTTTTAGCCAAAACCCCCCCAAAGCCAATCCTAACTTTTCTTTTGAGGTATGGAAACTTGTGGTATAATTTCAGAGAGATCCATACACCGTTCCACAAGTTATTGTCTGGAAACTAGAAAAATGCTTATTTGGGCCCCTAATTCCTAAACTGTTAGGACTATAACCCCCAAAATCAATCCCAACCTTCCTTTTGTGGTTATAAACCTTGTGTTTAAATTTCATAGATTTCTATTTACATTTACTAAAGTTATTGTCCAGAAACCAAATGTCTTCGGACGACGACGACAACGTGATACCAATATACGACCGCAAAATAAAAATCAGACCAGGGAAGAATGACAGAATTATTACTGAAGGGCACTGCTGATTTTTTAGTAATTTAAGTACTGTAAATACCCAATATCACTTCTGTTAAAAAATGAACTTTGACAACTCATAAACAGTGTATATACATACACATGGTATCAAACATCACGTCATAAATGGGCAGCCACTATAAATCTATGAATGTGTAGTCTATGACCACTGTAAATACATGTAATCTGCATAATAGAAAAACAAAGGATATGGGGTATCCATCCATGACACAAAGACAGTACATGCAAAGCAAAAAACACACAAAAAACAAAGGAACAGCACTTTTATTGCTGTTCTTCATCTCAAAGTCATAACTCTAGAACGGTAAAAGTGACACCACCCAAATTCAAACTTGATCTGTGTTTTGTTGTAATAACCATTGTGTACAAGTTTCATAACATTTAGTTTAGGCAAACTAAAGTTAGAAAACGGAAACTAATTTTGGGACATATGTATGTACATACGTACAGACGGACAAGCGTAACACTTACTGACCCCTCCGCTGTGATAGGGGAATAATAAATGGATAAAAATTATTGTGGAGAATCTTGTGACAAAAAACTATCCTTTTATATATGTAAATGTATATTTCATTCAAAGGAAAACAGGAAGTAGATGTAATTCATGGATAATCTATATAAATTCAAACTATAAAACTTCAAGCTGTTGATGAGATGTTGGTGAAAAAATAATAAAAATAAAAAAAGAATTCTATTTGCACAATTAATTTTAAAAATTCTTCCTTATTAACTTTATTGAGAAACACATGTGTCAAGTATGTAGCTTTAATATTTTTTACTAAATAAATGTGCACTTTTAAAATCATCAAAAAGATAATTCTAAGTATTTTAATTGCAAATGCTAAAAATTCAAAATTTCCAATTCAAAGAATTTTTCCATTTGTAAAGGGGCATAATAGAAAATCAAAGGATATGGTGTATCCATCCATGACACAAAGACAGTACATGCACAGCAAAAAAAACACACAAAAAGCAAAGGAACAGCGCTTTTATTGATGTTCTTCATCTCAAAGTCATAACTCTAGTACGGTAAAAGTGACGCCACCCATCTGTGCTTTGTGGTAATATCCATTGTGTATAAGTTTCATAATATTCTAGATCTGGTTGAGGCAAACTAAAGTTAGAGAACGGAAACTTGTTTTTTGGGACATACATACATACCGACAGACAAGGGTAACGCATTCATTAAAGCCCCCTCCGCTGCGACGGGAGCATAATAAATGGATAACAAGAATGTGTCCATAGTACACAGATGCCCCACTCCCACTATCATTTTCTATGTTCAGTGGACCATAAATTGGCGTCAAAACTCTAATTTGGCATTACAATTAGAAAGATCATATCATAGGGAACATGTGTACTAAGTTTCAAGTTGATTGGACTTCAACTTCATCAAAAACTACCTTGACCAAAAACTTTAACCTGAAGCGGGACAGACAGACGAACGGCCAGACTCACAGACCAGAAAACATTATGCCCCTTCTACTATCATAGGTGGGGCATAAAAATTATTGCGGAAAATCCTGTGACAAAAAGCTATTGAGAAGATGTTGGTGATAAAATAATAAAAATAAAAAATGAATTCTATTTGCACCATTAATTTTTTTAAATTCTTTCTTATCAACTTTATTGAGAAACACATATGTTAAGTACGGGGTATGTAGCTTTTATAAATTTTTTACTAAATAAATGTGCACTTTTAAAATCATCAAACAGATAATTCTAAGTATTTTAACTCACTGCAAATGTTAAAAATTCAAAATTTCCAATTCAAAGAGTTTGAATGCTATATAAAATCACCTTGTTTTATTGAAATCTGTCTAGATGCATAATGGTGTTGCATGTAGACAGCAAATTGCAATAAAATGCACATTTACAGGTAAAATTTTCATTGGATATGAAGAGTCTGATAGATTAAGATTTATTCACTCAAATGCACTTAGACAAAAGATCTGACTGTCTTTTCTTCCTCTTCTGTTATGTACAAAAGAGCCATACAATTCACATTGTATAAATAGAAGTAAAGGATAAATTTTAAGACTCATCAAAGTGTTTATTTTAAGTAACTGACAAATGTACATACAAGTACATTTTTAAAAACTGCTACATTATTTTCAAAAATTTATATATTTCAGCCTTTCACATTAAGCCATCTTGATTCGAATTTACCAATTTGGGTGTTTTTTGGAAACAATGGTGTTTTAAAATGGAAACCTACATATTTTCCTATTGGAAACTCCAAAAACAATCTGATTAATACAAACTTACTTTATATTAATTTGTTTATCTATCAATTAAGCTTAGCTTAGATTGAAAACTTCTTTTAAAACTTCAATATGTCTTTTGTTAAATAGTTATGATTATAAATTAATCCTGAAAACATCCCAATTCATATTCTACAACATAAAAATTAACCTTTTTGGGACATGTCAGCATTTGAGGGAGAAACCATAAACAAAGCGATAAATTACGTACATTATTTAGTTCCTTATTTTTTTTGAAGATCCAAGACTTTATTATGTACAACAATTCAAATATAAACTGTACTACATAACTAGCTCATAACAAAATTTAATCTTTTGTAGAATTTGTATCTGGATTTAAAAAAAGTTTCTTCTGGAATCACAACTTTGACATGATTTTAGTGCCTTTGATATTCCTCATGGAAACACAGGAATTTCCTCACTAAAATTGAGTAAAAATGGTCCTTTCTCATTTGAACATACTGTAATTAATTAGGTTCCTATCACAAAACTTAAAATTTCAGCCCAAAGAATTACCAAAATACTTCAATAAGAGCATGTTGCGACATGCTTGACTTACAGATTTATCTACTATTCTTTCTCCATATATCAAATATTCAGTTAGCGGTGTCTCCTCCCCGTTGTTGCTAGGACGAGACAAACGTCTTAGTCCTACATTTGAAAGTCCACCACCTCCCATTGGTACCCAACCACCACTAGAATCATCTCTCGTCATCACTTGTGCTTGCACTTGCACAAGGAAGTCCTCACTGAAATACAAAAATTACAGTATATTAATACATGTGGATACCCTGTCATTATTTCATTTAATTTTAATAAAGTGGACATTACAAATTCATTATGCTGTATGGCTGAATTCATTTTTCTATATAGTACAACTTGTATATATATACATGTACCAAGAAACTGAAATATAGATACATACATTGACCAGGCTTCCTCTAATTCAGGTTCACAAAATTACACTTGTTTGGACATCATAGTCCAAAGGACTAGTACAGTTTAAAATCAGAAATTCCATATACGAAAACATAATTCCTAGTTAGTGGTACAAGTTTAATGATGGTAAGGGTTATGACTTACTGATGGTCATGCCATCATTGGCAAAGTACATTTTGATATCCAAATGATGTTTCTTTATATATGTACTTTCAATAATCATAAGTATTTAACCAAGATCAAAATAGGAAGGTAAGAAATTGTATTAGTGTTCAGTGAAATTGGCATACAGTGACCAATCAAAATGCTTGACATTGATAAAACAGTTGCTTAAAGTTTCAAATAAGTCAAGGGGTTCAAATGTTACATTAAAGTTACAATTCAAAATTTTTTAATACATTAATCAAAATTGCAACATGTACAACGTTTTAACAATAATTTCCTGAATTTGACCCAGTCTTCATTGTGATGTTCTCGAAGGAGAGTATTGAAAGTATTTCTCTATATATCTTCTTCTTATTAGAAACCATTATCTTGTCCCACTTCTCCTCACTCATGTATGATTTGGGATTTGTTTTCTCAAAATGGGAATACACAGTGAAAGTGCAAGCCCTTTTTCTCTTTGTAAACAATGAACTTCCCCCCTTTTCTTTGACAACAGGTTTTTTATGAAAAACTCTGATAGTGTAAACAGATTTTGTGTACTTTGAGCAAGTTCTCTTGTCAAAGCTTTTTTCACAGGGTTGTAGGGAGTTTACTTTGGTAAGCCCCAGGTCAAGATTTCAAAATGTTGGTGAGTCTCGCCATTGAATTGTTCCTGTTTTTAGACATTTTAGAGAGTCCCAGTCTCAAATGGTGAATCAAGGACTCATCTCTGTGCTTTCCCGAGAACCATGTTTTAATTTTTTTTATAAAAATTCTGATGAAAAACTTTGATATTGGTCCATTGATGAAAATGTATGAAATAGTTATCATAACATACATGTGTGTAATATTGTTTGAAGATTTATGAACATTGTCTTTTTCAGAACCAAAGCTAATTTTATGAAGAGATTAATACATGTACAATTTTAACCGATTCCTCAAATTGGTACAACTGAAAGATAATTGGTGCTAGAAAGTGAAAAATTTTCAACCAATCTCCTCAATCCTATTTGGCACTTATACCAAACCTAATTTCAATTCTTATTTTCCTATTTGGTGCTAATACCATACCTAATTTCAATTCTTATTTGGCAGTCTACATTGTATTATATTGTATATGTTCTAAAAAGAGTATGTGTGTCTGATGTCACACATTTAGATTATAGATACTTTTGATAGTTAATAATGAAATTCTTTAAAGCAATTTTGTGCCATTTGGAAAATTTGTAGAGAATGAACAGTTAGTTAAACAAAAAATAGTTTTGGACTTCAAACAAAGACAACTCTTCTCCAAACAGTCCAGAAACCAAAGGACATGGATTTAAAAAAGAGGCAGAAGATACATGTACATGTACCAAGGGGACATTCATAACTCATAAGTCAAAGAAAAACTGACAATGCTCACAAACATGTTTAGCCCTACCACATTCTGTATATGCCTGTCAAAAGTCAGTAGCCTATCATTCAGTGGCTGTCTTAGGTTTCTGTTATATTTGTTATTGGCTTTAGCACGAATCAGACCTTTAGCTTTCTCTTTTTATCTGTTTCACATTTTGTTATGCCAGGCCTTTAAAAGCTTACTACATGTATTATATAAAATAAGAAGATGTGGTATGATTGCCAAAGAGACGACTCTCCACCAAATAACATAGAAGATTAGCAACTGTAAGTCACTGTACAACCTCCATAATGAGCTAAACCAATACTGCAAAGCAAGCTATAAAAGGCTTCGAAATTACAAATGTAAAAACAATTCAAATGAGAATCTTAACAGCCTGATTTATTAACAAAACAATAAAATAAAAACAAATATGGTATACACAGCAACAAACGACAACTACTAAATAACAGGCTCATTTCATATTATGTTTGGGTTTTGATTGATGAAGGCCGTATAGGGCCTATAGTTGTTTCCATCCATATCCTTGTTCTCTAGCTGGTGGATAACTGTCTCATTGGCAATCAAACCAGATATCCTTTTTTTAATATTTGAAAAAGTGGGGAAATAAATTCAATTAGTAAGGTTCAGACTTCTCACTAAGGGATTACCACTGGACGTTAAGCAACCAACAATCAATCACTAAGGGTTTATTCAGGTGAGTTTTTTTTGCCAAGGTAAGTCAAAAGGTCTGTAAGACACAATCTCAATGCTTTAATTTTTTTTTATTCATTATTTAAGTCTTCTATCAAATCAAATTGACAACAGAGTCAAGTTAAGATTATTTTCTAAATTTTGCAATGAATTGGTGATAACAAGACTCAGCTGAATATATTTTTTATGCATCTTTGGACTCTTCGGTTCAGAATATGACCAAGTCCAGCCTGATTTTCCTGAGTAGTACAGACTTATTTAAATGACAACTCTGAGTAGATTTTTCTATTTGTGGGAACTTCCAAAGAAAACACAAGTCCATCTTACCAGGCAATGTGTAATATGTACCATTTTTCCTATATTTTTTTTCAAAGAATGGGGGAATGACTTAAAGGGGCATTAGCTGTCAAATTCATGTTCACCGATTTGACTCAAATTCTTATAAAATTGAGAATGGAAATGGAGAATGTACCAAAGAGACAACAACAACAACCTGACCAAAGAGCAGAAAAAAGCTGAAGGCCACCAATGGGTCTTCAACACAGTGAGAACTAAAGTTAAAAAACATACAAGACCAACAAAGGCCAGGGGCTCCTGACTTGGGACAGGCGCAAAAATGCAGCGCAGTTAAACATGTTTTGTGAGATCTCAACCCTCCCCTATACCTCTAGCAAATGTAGAATAAACAAACACACAGCAATATGCACAGTAAAACTCAGTTTAAAAGAAGCTTATTTTGACGAAATTTAATCAAACTGACTGCTTATTGCGAAATATTATTTCTATATTCCATTTAAATGTTTGAAACAACTATTTAATTGTTTGTGTATTTTGTATCTGATGCCCCTTTAAAAGATGGTGGTCTTGAATTTTGAATGATTGAGAGGCTTATAAAGTATAACAAGGATTTCAAATTTTTGAATGGACATGAACTAATCTAATTCAAAATATTATTTAAACCTCTTACTGCAGTATGAAGTAAAAAAATAAAAATGGCCAGTATTTTACTTGGTAAAGTGAAATGGTCATAAAATACATGGTGAATTAATGCTGATAGTTGGAAATATCTTTGACATGTTTTAAATATGTAAAGTTTGTAAGACAGCAGTTATTTCTAACACTGACTAATAAATGTTATCCCCTGCTAGATGTATGTCAAATGGTTTCTCTGGGAATCTAGTCTTTATCTTGTAATGACACAGAAATAGAAAACAAAATATTTGAAAGGAATGAAGAAGCTTCATACAGTTACTGTAAATTAAGAAATTATTGCATGGATTTATTATTGTGATTTTGAATAATGAACAAAAATTCAAGATTAATTATTGCCATTTGAGGATAAGCTGTATACATTGTACTTGTACTTGAATAATACCTGTATATCATAATATTAGTTTTTTAATATTGCAATTTTTACCCAGTCACACTATTCACATTAATAAAAACCTCACAATAATTTCTGAATTTACAGTAATTCTTCTGAGTTGTTATTAATATAAAAATAAAAAAAATGCACAATTGCAAATTCACATAATTCGATCTTTACAAAAAATGCTGTGAAACGGTATAACATTCGAAATACTGCTCACATTTTATTGTTCATAGACTTTTTTTTAAAGTTTGCAGGTATGGTTCCTTGAAAAAATATAAAATAAAGCAAATACATCCACCGTTAGTAAATCCTCTTGGCTATGAATAAGCTTATATTAAAAAAATCACAGTGGATCACTATTAAGCTTTTGATTACAAAATAAAGGTGTGTTTTTTTAACTAACTATAATTCAATTTGCTAATAAAAGGTGCCAGTTACTTGCTGAATTTATGTTTTGAGTCTGACAGAATCTACAGTTATATGTATTAATATAAATTGAAATTGAGCAAAGAATACCAATTTGTGATGTACATTTTCAATTTCTGGATTTATTCAAATTGATATTAGTCCTGGTAATGTCATAGGATGTTATGTGTGCTCAATTGATACAAGGTTTCACAATTTGATGCATCTTAGGACTAACCGGTTTTAAAATGATCAGTCCAGACAGATATTTAAGACCTCAGGACTGAAGGACTCACCTTAGTGTGAAGTGAGAACCCCTTTTAAATTTGATTCAGAACATTCAATAAGTATGGAATTATCTTCCCAAATGAGGCCAGAACAATGATTTCTTTTGGTTTATTTAGGAATTGTATAATGGGGAGGGGGGGGGGGGGGGGGGCAAAATGTAATATTTGTACATGTAGCTCATGTAGATATTACTTCTATTATTCTGTCTCATAGATGAAATTTCTTTCTTTCTACTGGACTATTACTCTACATTTTTTTGCATTATTATACATGTATGTAGCTTAGCTTTCAAATGCTAGTGCTTAATTACTTAAATGCTATTTATTTTTGTTTTGTATCTTTATATTTTAGTGATTGCTGGTCCCCTCAGCAATGAGGTGCATGCCACATGGGCACTGACTGTACATGTGCAGGTTCAGAAATCACATATATGGTGCTTTCATTATATCAACATGCCATTTTTTTTTTGTGGTGTTGCTTGAAAATATATGATTTTTATGTGATAGTTGGTTAATACAGCTCATAATTTGATTGTTATGTACATATAATATGCTGACTTAACTAACTTTTCTATTCTGACATGTTAATATTAGTATCAAATTGTAGAAATATTCTACAATTTTGTTCCTGACAGAATGAAAGGTATAGAATATTTATCAAAACGGGGGCAGATATTTTAGCATTGTTTATAACAGTTTCCAGAAGAACTTCAGTTAGGTTAGGAGATACAAATATACATTGACAGTACTGAACTCCAATAAATTTTGCCTATATTGATGTGCTAGAGAAAATTTTGTTTTTTGTCAACTTAAAATGTTTTATTCTCTTGATTTATAGGACTTAATAAGTAACTGACTTCAACCATAAACATTTTACACTTTAAAAAAAAGCTTTACAAAAAACTTGTAAAATTTATTATGCATTTTCATTATTTTCAATATGATCTATATGTTTTACACACTGTACTTCTTTATACAGTTGAAATGTAAAGTTTGTAAGACAGCAGTTATTTCTGACACTGACTAATAAATGTTCTTCAGATTAATTATGGTAAAAAAATGGAAATCCTGACCATGTCATTCATTACATTTTATGAATGAATCCATGTCAACCGAAACAAGTAGAGAATTTCATTGATCAGAATTCTCTGAATGGCAGTTGTATATGGAAAAGTTATATGTCTGTGCATTAATTTCTTATCTAAAGAAACAAATTATGGTAAATTTGAACTGATGGAACTTTTGTCTATGTAAAAATACATGTTGAAATCATAACCGCCTCCATGATGTGTGCAACAAGAGCGAAGACGGTCGAAGAATTCATACATGATTTTACCGTTTCGATTAAAATGGCATAATTTTGAAAGATCCATACAATAACTTACTTCTGTTTATTATCTTCGGTCATCTTCCTTGATCCATTTTGAAGTTACAGTGTGTACATTTTGTACATAACACTGGATATTGTCTCAGATTTAGACAGGAAATGCTTTGGACAGCAATGTTATAAGTGCGCTACATCCGCATTAAAAATAGTTTCAAGACATAATATTACTGGCAAAACATATCAAAATCAATGATTGTATTACACATTTTTATTGTCAGACATCACCTGTGGCATGAAATATGCAAGTGTACGCAGTTTAGTTTTCTGTTTCAAAATATATGCATTAATAGTAGCGGAATGATTTTAAAACCCAACATGGCTACTCGATAGTTCAAGTACAGTGCAAGGGACTATTTCATTTGTAACTTTTTTTAAACCGTGTAACCTAATATCGGACAAATTTACCCTTTTCTAATATTGTAAAAAACTTAAAAACTAAGTGGCCGAATGGAAACTTGGAAACTTTATTATGCCTAAATGTGCAAGTTAATTTTTTAGTTATTCAGTTGCCACATTGATATTTCTTATGTAAATTATTTACTGACCATGTTGACCAATCAAAATTAAGATGTAAATTAATGTCAATCATCGAGTGTCAAGTGTATTACTATTGTCATACACGTGACGTCACGTAAATGATACTAGGACACGCCTATCAAACAATGTTTATTGTTTTGCAAATATTTATGAATGAATTTATCTGGCCGACATCGCGTGTAACGTTCATTCACATACATTGATTGATGACCAACACACGATCTTTGTTTCGTTAAAAATAGAATGAATTACTAAACACACACATATTACCTTTATAGGTCATATTTTAGGACATATGAATTTTGAAAGTTAAACACTTTCTTTAAAGAAAAATAACTTATTAAGGCGTCCAAATCTGAATCTCTAAAGTGGGTCATGTCCGCTTCTCGCGGATTAACCAATATTTGGTTCAGTTATCTTGTTCTATTTTCCCCCGTTTGATTTAAGAGTTAAGTAACATGGACGAAGTTGATGCTGAAATCTCCTTTGATACATCCATATAAAGTGATTATTATATGAGGCTAATCATGACAGTCTTGGCAAATATAAAAAAAGAAAGAGATCGATGTGACCGGTATGATTGCAAATGAGACAGCTGTGATCAGCTGTCAATTTTCCAGTGGTCAGTCAATATTCTGCATCTTTTATGACGGTTGGCTTAACCTGCAGTACCAACCTATTGTATATATTGTTCAGTAATTTTTTCTCATTTTGAATATGCCGCATGGGATATTTGCCACTGGACGTAAAGCAAGCAACAATCAACCAATCAAAAGACAAAGGACAAAAACCATACCGTATAGCAATTATACCTAAAAAAAGGTCCCGGGTTAATAAATATAAAGCAGACAAAGAGAGAAACCAGCGGCCTGATTTATATAACAACTTAAATGGTAGACGGTAAACCAACGACAATTTTAACCATATAGTGGATGCAGGCCCCTGACTTAGGACAAGCACATAGAGAATGTGGCGGGGTTAAATTAGAAGCAGCAGTAGTCCAATCGTAAGTCCATGTTAAACATGTTGAATCCACCACTGTTATTCTAGCAATGTATCTTCATTTAGTCACCTACCTCAAAGCCAAGATTGCAATGACACATTGCAGTCTGTCTGACAAACTTTGCTTGTCCATAACTTGTGACAGAGTATGTGCAGGATCTTCTTAACGTTCCGGAGCACCTGAGGTCACCCCGGTCTTTGGGTGTTGCTCAGTCCGCTTTAGTTTTCGATGTTTTGTTTTGTATGCTGCTGTTTGCCTTTTGGTCGTTATACGTTTTTTGACATGGCATTGTCAGTTTGTCATCAACTTGTGAGTTTGAATACCCCTTTGGCATCTTCCGCCTCTTTTGTATTGTTTTTTTTTTGGCTGCCCGGCATGGAATAACACGATTCCATTCTTCACGTTAGATTTTTATAATATTATAGATAATGACGACTCTGTAAGCCGCCTATGAGTATATGTCTATCATGTAAGGCACTATGGAAAGACAAAATGCTATACTAGTAAGTAGTTGTAAAATAAAAAGAATATTAAAAAGAATTATTTCACAACAGTTCATATCAAGTTCGACATCTTTTCTAAAGTTTAACATCAAATTCAGACTGGAATGATTAATGACCATTATTCGCCCTTAGATCACACCGAACAAGCCCATCCAACCAAAAGAAAAAAATATATACGGGATCTAATATTGAGAGTCAAAACTGAGATTGTAAAACCGTAGGACCTTAATATCTATTGGTTTTCCACTCATGTAGTCACGGTGTGGCGAATGTCTTGCATTCATGCAAAACCCAACATTTACATGGAGGTCACTAATGTATCGAGAGCTTCATTAAGTTTATGTAGCAGGTATGATACAAAGGCTAAACTAATATTATTTTTTCCATACAAAAATCTTGGTCACCTCCAGACTGGATTCGCAAATTATTTGTAATTCAAAACAAGTATCTTAGTGATCAGCCCTTGAACTTTAAGCAACATGCTGATGACGTTGCTATTATACCACACGATGAAAAAGAGCTACAACTTTTGTTGAATGCTTTATCTACATGGTGTGAATGCAAACCATAGTAACGTAGTACATTTTTCGACCACCATCTGTACCTAGGTCTGATGTAATTGTTAATTGTAATGATCATATTTATTAAGTTTTTAAGTAATTATAAATATCTTGGCCTCGTTTTAAACGAGCATTTAGACTATAATAACACAGCAAAGTGGTTGCATTTTTAGCAAATAGAGATTAAGTGTTGGAAAATTACAAGTGTAAAATTTAAGGGACGACATCAAAAGTTCAATGTAGGATAAAAAACTTAATTCACATAGTTTTTTCACTGACCCCCCCCCCCCCCCCCCCCCCTCCCACCCCCCTCTTAACTTAATTTGGGAAAAATTGATTGACCAATATGGATATAGGTAAAATCGATTTTGGATAAACAACACTTGCAGCAATTTTAACCCCCCACCCCAAACTATTTGATTTAAGTTTTTTATCCTACATTGATCTTTTGATGTCGTCCATAAGGTGGTGTTTGTTTCGATGTATTTGTAAAATTATTATATTATATATATGAGAGTTTGGTTTTACCTTTAATGGAGCAGCCAATGGGGCGAAAACAAATATTCTTGTATACATTCCATACAAAATAGGGCCTGTAGATTTTTTCTTGGAGTATGTTATATACACCAGATGCTGCAGTTACTGGAAACTTAAAAATCAGTGGTAAGTATTATTCGTTTGTGGTGTAGGTTAAATAACATGAACTTAAATCGATTAAATGAAAAAGTTCATAAGTGGACTGATAATATGAGTATCATTAAAGCATAAGTGTGTTAAAAACTGGAGCTTTTCAGTAAGGAAAACCTTCTGTGAACTGAATTTAAGTTATTTACTGTGTCTTGAAAATATGGACACTAACTATGTTGTAAAACTTTTCACGTCAAAATTGCACGATAAACATGTCGATAGTTGGCATGCTGTTTTATATCATCGCACAGAGGTGGCAATAAGCTAAAAACGTACATATTGTTCAAAGAAAATTTTGAACCTGAAAAATACTTTATAATAGTTTGCATTTCAGTTACAGAAGCGCTTTCGCCAAATTTAGATATGGTGTATCCCCACTGACGTTTGAAACTTGGAGATATGATAAGACTATAGTTTTAGAAAACAGAGTATGTCATGCGTGATGGTTTTATTGAGATGAAGCGCATTTTTTATTGAGATGTCCTCTTTATGACGATTTTAGAAACCATTTATATTATGTTGATGAAAACTTTAATGAAAATTTTGATACTTAAGGTGACAACCCAAAATTAGTGGGTTTTTTTATTCTCAGATGTAAATATGATACGTGTGTGTGCCAAAACAATAAATTTTAAGAAGACATAAACATTTTGTACTTTATTTTATATTTTTTAATGTAGTATATCTATATATGCATCTATATATTTTAATAGTCCCGTATAATTCTGTATAGAATGGTTCTCATTTTATGTGGTATTGTTTTACAATTTATAAATATATATTTTAATTGACTCTAATAAAACATTGAATTGAATTGAATTAAAATCTACCAGTTCCTTTGCAGCCCAGATTCGGCGACTTCTGGAGCTCGGTGCCCTGTCACTGGTGCCCAGAACTAACGAACATTGCTCAAAGGAGCCCCGAGCCTATAATATTAAGCCTTGAGCTGGACGATAAATTAAGATGGAACCTAAGAGCCTGGTTGTTATGCCCAAAATATTTCCATGGGGAAATTTTCTTTCCTTGATCAAAAAACTTTGGGGGGACTCTTAGCCTATAGAAAACATTTAATCGCCACTAAGTCTAAAACACCAAAATCAAAAAGAATAACCATTCTAAAAGAGAGGCGAAAGACAACAAAGGGACATTTAAACTCATTTCTTACTTTATAGAAAGTCATGTAGACCCTAGTTTTTCCTAGCAATTTATATGGTTTTCCGTCGGTCGGTCGAACTATTGAAATTTAAACACACATTGGTTACGGGAATCGAGTCTTTTCCACGTACCTCGGCGACATTTTAAGTCCCAGGTAAGACCTACTGTCCGTCGCGTAGCAGTGTCATTGTACGGATAAACACTTTTTATAAATCCCAAGGCTGCCTCTATTGCATCATCTCCCTTACTTAATTAAGTGATGAAATATAAATTAGCTCTTATGCCGCGATGACACAACAGTGACCTGCACCATTTCGTTTAAAAAGGTATTTACTATCACTGGATCACACGGATCGATTTACACTTGATTGGATCTTAAACACGACACATATGTTTTCTATGCTCACAAGGAACAAGAATGCTTTCAAGGACCAGTAAATTTATATGAACCGTTATTTGGTATATGTCTTTAAGCAAGGATTTGTATACAAATCCTTGCTTTAAGTTACAAAATTCACTGGTGCGTAAATAGTTTGACAAACGGATCAAAACAACCCATACACATTTCGGGGCCTTTCATAGCTGACTATGCGGTATAGGTTTGCTCATTGTTGAAGGCCATACGGCGACCGATAGTTGTAAATTTTTATGTAATTTGGTTTCTTGTGGAGATTTTCTCATTGGCAATTATACCACATCTTATTCTTTTTATACAT